TCTCTTACATATCATATGTCATGGTTAAATATTATGTACCATTCGATGAACAATACCGTGAGCAAAGATCTTATTTATTCAACTTCTGGTGGTAAACTGTTATTTGCTTGATCAAAGCTCCGTAGTGTAGATCGAACGAATCTGAAGATGACGATTTGACCACAAATAACGGATTAAACTAGTATTTCTATGAAAACGTTAATCTTTCTGTTAAAGTAGTAGATCACAAACTCGTATATTCTCATTTCCTAAAATCCCAGTCCAAATCCATTACTTGTTCTCGAGAAATCGCTTGTTTTCCTCGAAACGCTCCGTCGATTTAGACCACAATTTTAGAAACGCTCTTACCATTTTGTTTTGATATCATTGTCAGATTATTAGAGAAGAGTTCCGAATCGAATCTATCTCTCAAAAACGTGTTGTACTTGTTAGGCAAATTGAAACATCTGAACCTGGTGGTGCTAAACGTGCAACTAGCTAATTAAAGCCTATACATTAGATGATGTCATGCCTACATAATGTGCTAAATCATAAAACTATAGAAAAAAACGAAAATTTATATGTGAATTAATCTTTCTTCTATTGATGCCAAGGGGTATGATAGATCTTTTCTTTCTCTTCCTGAAAAGGAAAGGCAAGCTATATATTTCCTTAACTGATCTAGACTACCGGAGCGTTTCCAATTCACTGTGTTAACCAGATCGGAGCGTTTCTTGAATATGAGAATGTCATCATTTTTAAGACTGGATTTTCGGTCATCAAATCACTATTACGATAATGTATGGTGCGTTGAAGCATTGGAATTTGACTAAAATATACGTTGGTGCTCTAATCTTGGCTCAACTAATCACATGTATCGACAAAAGGGGTTTTGACCGGTAGAATGACAAATACGTTTTTGAATTTTGATAACTATACTGCTTCGTAAAGCTCTTCCTAGTTGCTTCAAACGTCAACAGCCAGCCACGTACAACATGAATATCACACCCATCGAATGGTATACTCGAAATATGTAACTCATACCTCTTATTCCCATTATTGGGGAAATTGTCAGACGGCTCATCATTCCCGCCAGACAGTTTTCCTACATCGGAGCGTTTCTTTGTTTAATTTCAGTAATGAAACGCTCCGTCGTGCATGTAGGAGCGTTTGGGTTATACACCGTGAACACTTCCCATTCACCATCTTTGATGCTAAGGTGACGGCTGTTACCTTCGCTTGATACTGACCAGTGATTATTTGGCAACCATGTGTAGGTAGAACAATATACTGCTAATCCCTGTTAAATTTGTGTTTTGGAATAAGTGAACATACTTTCTGGGAAAACTCTAAAATTCTAATAATAATAGATGTATAGCAAATATTTTATTATATTTTTGACAATTCATATACAGTAAAACCTGTATATCTGAACACCTGGCTAATCCGAACACTTTCCAATTTGAAAACTTTTTTCCGGTCCCATTTTTCTGAACACCTCCTAATTTGAACAGTGAACAACCAGATTTGAAAAAGTGACCTGTCTAATCTGAACATTTTTATCAGAAATCAAATGTCTGGACATTTCAATTATAGCCAAATATTGAGTCAATGTTATAGTTGTTATTTATCTTTACATATACAATGTAATCAAAGAACCAATATTGTCCTAACTAACTTATTTAGTCTCAGTGACATCCCTAATTTGTGGAAAACAACAGGATGTTTTGGAAAGGTGTGAATACAGGAGTTAATTGGTTTATCCTTATTGTAAATTAACTGGATGTTTTTGATTTGGATTATGAACAGGTCTTGACTGTTTTATACCCCATGGGTCTGTTATGATAGCTAAGATTCAATCAGCAAATGTTTTATAATCACAAGGACAACATAGACGAAATTTGCAGACAAGATTTAGAAAAGAACTGAATGTTTTTGATTTGGATTAAGAGAAAGGTGAGAATCTGGGAGATAATTGGTTTATCCTTACTGTAAATTAACTGGATGTTTTTGATTTGGATTATGAACAGGTCTCAACTGTTTTATATCCCATGGGTCTGTTACGATAGCTAAGATTCAATCAGCAAATGTTTTATAATCACAAGGACAACACAGACGACATTTGCAGACAAGATTATATCACAAGAGAGAGAAAAAATTCAACTTTGTAATATCCTATCACTAAAATGTCTCCTAAAAGGCATACATCTGACATCCTCCTGAATGCCCTTGATATTTTGAAGGATTATACATCATCTCGAATGAACACTCATGAAAAATTCTTTTTACTTGAAGAGGATATCTACTCAAATATTGCTAATGCTAAAAGTGCCAAGAAACAAACAACAATGAAGGACTTTTTCAAGCAAAAGTAAAGCAGTGCTATATTACCATAATATGGGATAAGTAATTTGATAAGCATAAGATTTCATACGAGACTATCATATACTTTTACAGTGTATTACAAAGTTTTTGCCAAAATATAAGAGTTATTTTTACTAAAATGATGATATTGTTCAAAATATAAATAAAACATAGCATATAGGCTATATGACTATTGGAGAATTAACTCATCAACAGTATTTATTGTTTTCTGACTTAGTATTAAATGTTCAATATAGTGGACTGAACAATGAAAATCCCCCCCCCCCCCCCGACCAACAAAATCCTCGAAATTTGAACACCTGCCAATTTGAACGCTTTTGGCTGGTCCCGTGGGTGTTCGGATTAGACAGGTTTTACTGTAGAAGAACCTTAACAGGAACACAATTTCGTCTTTAAGTGAACACAATTCAAAGTGAACACACCTCAATATAATATTTAAGCACTTTTTAATCTCATAGCCCATAGATAGAAATTTGACCACATGTCATGTAAAGCCTGTAAGCTGTCTATTTCTTTTTTAAATATTTTAATATGTTGAATTAATTTCAAAATCCTATTCTGCCAGCTATTGTGGGCCTTTTATCACATTTGCTAAATAGCAAAATAAAGGGTCGTATGTATCACTGACCCCCATGTTATCAAACCATTGTATCTTAACACACTTCTCAATCAAAACACTTTTTACTAGTCAAAGCAGCAAATCACAGTTAATAGAAATAGGCTAATAGGTTTTACTGTTACTGAAGGCTAAAGAATGTTGTTAAAGTTGATGCATTGAAACTGATGGTATTTATGCAGTATAAATAAGATCATTAAAAACATTTTTAATGATTTATTTCAATTTACTGTATGAAACTGAATAATATTGTATCTACTGCATGTTTTTTATGAATTGCTTATGTCTCACCTACATTAAGGATATCAGCTGGTAAAAGCATAATGATGAAACCATAATCCCCTACTTGTTATGTCCAATTGTTAAAAGATATATTAATGTTTTTATTTCTGTCATTAGCACTGTATTATCATCTATACTGGTACAGATATTTTAGATAATAACAGAAAGGAACCAATAGAATGACTTAATCACTTGAGATTTTTACAAATGATGAAATATTACACAACCCATTTTGCTAAAAAGCTGTATTTGAATTCCATAATAATTCATTCTGTTCAATAGGGAATATGTTACTCACTTCATGTTAGATTTTGAAACTTATGGCTCTCCAATGGCGCACTTGGACAGATGAAGAATAGTGACCTTTGAAACATGAATTAAGTCGATCCGCGGCTTACTTTTTTTCTCTCACTATGTCAAACATCATTATCATCCTTCCGTGCGAGTATTGGAGCGCTGAAGTACTTCCTTTTCGATCAAGACTTGTAATTTTTAGTCGAGTGAATGTTTTTTCTGCCAAATTCCAATATGGCATTTTCTGCTTGGACATTTTCGTAAATCTCCGGAGGATGTCTGAACCTCACTCATTTTCAAAATTAATTTCATTTGTTGCATATCTCGCTCCTAGCAAACCACCATATTGGAAATGGGTTGAAAAAACATTCACTCGATGAACAATTTGATCGAAAAAGAAGTATTTCAGGCCTCCTATACTTGCACGGATTGATGATACTGAGGTAAGCCAAAAATCTTTATTCATGTTTCAAAGGTCACTATTATTCAGCTGTCCAAGTGCGCCGTGGGAAAGCTATTATAGTGGGAAAGCTATTATATCAAAATCCACATAGCTTTCGCAGGAAGTAAGGAATATGTATTTCTAAACCCTTATAACAACCACAGTGTAACTTACAGATATCAAAGACTGAGTACATTTCCCAATGGTCTAATTAATTGTTAACTGTATGAACATTTTGTAATCTAATAGCATCCTGTTATCAATACGTAGATTCCTATGCCAACAGATTTATATGGATCATGTAATATTATACATTCATCATGCAGCTTTGATAGAACATTTTACTTTGATGAAAAAGTAATAATGTAATTTATTCATTTAGTAATTCAGCATGGCATAAAAGAGCAACCTATAATGCTTTTTGCAACATTATTTGAGCAGTTATTGGGTCATTAAAACTGTTCCCATCAGTGAAATGGATTTTATATAGATATCATTCCCTCTGGATCATAAATTGACTAGTATTCTGTACTTGGATAATAGCTTTACATGTGGTTGACAATCGCTTATTTATATTTATCGGGTTTAATTTTAAAGAAATACATAAAATATAAAATGTTCATACAATGCATGTTGTAGGTTAAGTGCATGGCTGCACTTGTAGCTGTAAGGTCTTGATGATAAATCTGACACTGAGGACTTGACCCTACGAGGCAAACTCATCAAGAGCCAAGGCATCCCCTGTCTACAAAGGACACAACTGCATCCAATAGTCACACTATTTATAAATAGTCTAAAATTTTACTCAATTAAAATAAATTGGTAAATACTGAGATGAAACAAAAAATAAAAAATGGCAGGAAACTTAGCTTGTATTCCCGAATGCAACTTTTTGCTGTTGGCTACCAGATAAACCTACCCTTTTACGGCGACTCATTTTAATGTGAATTCAGTAAAACCTAAACCTAAAATACAAGCTTAAAAACTGCGTAGTGCCCTCACCTGTTCCATAGACTGATACTCCTGAGTGGTACACACCAATACCAAGGTGGGCAGAATACTCATTAATCCAATACTGAAATAACAAATATGAAATCAACAGTTGCATAATATATTGGAATGAGATTATTGTACAGTAATGGGATTAACTAATACACCTATTGTATCATGAGTGTCATCAATAAGTTATCATGTGTCATCAATAAGTTATCATGCATCATATCATTATTTGAGTCAGTATAGCTACATTCAAGTTAAATCTCATTTTCAGCATTTTAAAGCCATTACCTGCATTGTATCAACTTTCAATTCCCCAATTTTCGATGTTTGGCCTATAAATAACTTTGGCATTGATTCTGACAAAGAGGTGTTAAGCAACATGTTCAATTAGAATGATTAAGGGAACAATTGAAGAAGTTCGATAGAGAGGTGAAGTAGCCTATTTCTTATTCTTTAGTAACTTGGGCTAGTACAAAGTCAAAGTTAACGAAAATTCTGAAAAGTGAAAAATAAATTTCCAAGACATTAGATTTAGCCACCTATTAAAAGATCTCAGAAATTATTGAAAATAAATAGGCAGATAAATTCTTCATTGACATTAAAAGGAAGACATGAAGCATGGTACATATACTATCAATAAACTAATTGCTTGATGTTTTGAGGCAATTCACCTTCTTGAGTAGGGATATACTTTTACTTTTCCACTATTTAGATGAAATAACTATAGGCTTGTAGACTAAACATAGATAAAAGTTAAAGTCCCCGTCTAAAGTTTGAAAATATTTTTTTATCATTCATTTCCTTTGTCAGGACTTAAAAAGTGATTTTAGAGATTTTTGAACAAAAAAAATTTTTTGAAAAAAAGTTGTGAACATTTCATTTCTCAAATATTCAAATTTCCCGCCATTTTTCAAAAAAAGTTGAAATTTCTTAATCATCAAATATTTCTTAATGCATTTCAAAAAAGATTATCTTTTTAACACCAATGCAAGATTGAACAAAGGACACACTATTTAAATAATAAAATTACATATTTAATGAGCCACTTCAATGTTTTAGCATATCAAAAATATTTTGAAACATTAGTGATGTCACTAAGGTATGTCAATCTTTTCTAAATATGCTAGACTTTCATAAAAAACCAATGTTGATTGTCTAACCAGGTTAAAAAGAAGAATAAATTATGTTTTAGATATCATTGTACCATTGGTTTCTATGAGAACTAAAATTTTGAAATGCATTTTTCTCAGAACCATTTTCATGCACTGATAAGTTCATTTCTCGCTTGTTTATCAACCGATTTTCTTAATTTTTTCGGTCAAAAACATGCGAGGATGAATGCTATGCATTGGTATGAATTGTGGCTAATTAGAAGATATGAGTGATCTCTAAAAGTTGGTTTTAAATAAATTCACAAATTTTGAAACAAAAAGTCTATCAAAAACCACTTTTTGAAATTAAAAAAAAAAGTTTCACATATCACACTTTGATAACATTGGGTAAGACTACAATATAAGCCAAAGTGGTTTAAACTTTACATGGGGCCTTTAAGCATTTGGACATCAAAGTATATCAGAAAAATGATACAATATCAATCTAAAGAGACAAGTACATCTACTATCACCGGGCCCTTGATTTTAATGCCATATTTCCAGAGCTCTTTTTTATGTTTAAGAGGCTCTTATCTTTACTTGATGGAGTCTATTAAAAAGATAATGTGGCAAACTCCCCATAAAGGAGATCATTGCAAAAGGTTCACTGTTAAAGGGAGAATCAGATCTTTTGAGCAACCTTCCCAGAAAATTGTTTCAATTGTTTCAATGTGTTGCCTGACTTATAGCGAAACTATTAGCTTTTGGATCTTGGTGAATTCATATCTATAATAAAAAAGCATAGCGGTTCAAAAAACTCCTAGAAGACCTAACATATTTTGCCATACTGTGCACCTATTCATTTAGCATTTCAACAGTAAAATTTCTCTTGAAAAAATAAATCTTCCAGATTTTCTTGCAGAAATCGCTGTATCCCCCTCTATTCATTTTGACTGGCATATAATTTCAATCCAAAACATCTCAATCGATTCTAACCATCAAAAATGTTCTCCCAAATGGCAAAAAAAGACACGTACGGCTGTCAGATTGCAGAAATATACTAAGTACATGTAAATCTTTCAATCGACCAGTATTTCAACATGTCTGCCATCAGAGGCCTTGAAAATTTCATCCAGTGCGTACATTTCTACATCTTTTCATTACTAGGAACATTATCCTTAAAAGCTTGGAAAATCAGTCCACTCGATAATAGGGAATTGAGTCAAGCAATTATTGATAATTCAAGAGTGTTATAAACACAACATATTTGAATGATCTCACTAAGAATTAATATTGTATTTGATGTGTTGTTATAGGGTAAAATTGTGGGTGATCAGTAAGTGCCAAAGCTGAAGGTTTACTACCCATGATTCATTTATATATTACAACACGCATAAATTAAAATAGTCCAGAAGTAACGTCACACATATGTCCATGGCAGACATTTTGAGATACTGGTAGATTGAAGTATATATTACTGCAATTGGAATTTTTTGCTATTGGGAGAACCATGGGTTTTCAAGAGCCTGTGGGAGAACATTTCTGGTAGTGCCTTGAATCAAAGAAATATATGCATGGCTTGGAATGAGATAAATTGATACCCATATTCATAACCAGGGGATGGTCAGAAATTAAGAATCATGCTGTTTATTACCATTTGAGTACTTTAGTGATTTGCCCCCCTAGTCTATATCCAATAGACTGAATTTTCTGAGAATTCAGTCTATTGATCATTATGTCCCTCCTGTGGGAAAAAACAGGAAATTTCATGCACCCAATTGTTAATTTTAGGAAACTGCATTTCCAAAAAATAAGCATTATAACAATTCAATTAAGTAGTAAGGTACAATTAAATGCTATAAAAAGTAACACAGCATATCAGAAGAAGTGAGTAGCTCCCACAATTCTTTCATATTCTATCGTATTTGGGTATTCCCCGTTACATCATCTCCCACATCATCTCCAATCAAATTGCAGGATGTGATCATGTGAACAATCATGAGCACGTGCTCTCTCAGTGCTGCGCATGCGGAAAGTAACATTTGAAATCGTGGAAATGGCGTTTGTTTCCAAACTTGTAGAGAATATTCATAAAAAAACAGCTAACATTGTGAGATCCATTTCAATGACAAATGAGACCTGTTTATAAAGTTGGTCATCGAACATGCCGAATACTACAGGTCATCTTTGGGAAATCTCCTCCCCTGACAGCATATTGTCAAATGGAAATAAAGCTGGGGGAAGTAACAAATATGCAATTTTGGATGGCACTTCCTTACTTCGGTCCAAAGCCTTCTCTATATTCCGGCTTTGAGGAGGAAGATTGAGCTGCCTTAGTATTATAAATATTGTAAATCATTGTGTCACACGCACAGTAAATATGGCATAATAATATGAAATATACCTTTATGTATAGATTTGAAGAACATCAGCTCACATCCCCGTCTGAATCTATTGTTATATTTGATTTCTTTAAGCGAGAATAATTTCAAATGTTATTCACGTCCAGAACCGGAAGCCATTTTTAGCTACAGCGAGAAAATTTCACCATGTGTCAAACTCCGAAATGAAATTTTGAAATATCTAAATCCAGACAAGCAACGCTTCATCCTAAATATGATTAATATTCTTAAAAATATTTATAAAATTTATTAAAAATGAGTTCTAGGTGCGTGTAGGTGCGTGTAGCACAGTACATACGAAATCAATGAAGTTTCGTCTAGCTGTAAGCTAGAGACTCGAGTAAGCACTTCCCATGTAAACAAATAATTTTCAATCCCAAATTTTAACATATGTGGGCTATAGTCTGAATATTTTCATTCCAAATTTTAAAAAAATTCAGACTTGAGGATATAGTCTGCCCCCCCCCCTGCAAAAGCCTTTAGCTGACCTGTATCATTATTTTTGTGAAGAACAGGACATAACCTTTACCACAATACTGTACATACCATATCATAAACATTCACTATCACAGGATGCGACATAATTCTGAAATTTAGTGAGGCACTGTCCTTGGTCCACTTCTATTGTCTCAGAACAAAATGAATCACCAATCCAATGTCCAGTGCAAATTATTTTCCGATGCGACAGCTTTCATAAAAGTTATTTTTCTCTATTTCGCAATGATTTTAGTCATATTTCAAGCATATTTTAATGTTTTTTGTGTTGTTCTTTTTCCATAACTGAGATTCTGCAAGCTATTGTACGCGTAAAATGTTGATAAATATGAAAAATATCCAGTGCGGAAATAAATTTTCTTATTTTTCCGATGGTGCTTGTGTACTACGTCATCAAAAGTTGTTCTACAAGTTTCCGTGACGTATTTCACAAGACCGTGTTGGAAAATGGCAAAAAATATCAAGATTCTGTCATTTTTCCCAATTTTACGGAGATGCATGTTCTTATCACGTCCAAGTGTCATTCGTAATCATGAATGGCAAGCCAGGGTAGGTGTCTGAACAGTTTAAATTTATGTCAAATGATGTAAATAGACTAAAATGCAACTATTGGAATTAAAATTCTTGAATAAAATCTGACATTGGCAAAATTGGAAGACCACCATGTACTCTATACCTACAAGGCTGACCAAAAATAATAATAAACCCAAAATTTGGTTTGTGTAAAAAAATGGGTGACTGGGTAAGCGGATGGCTGGGTCAGAGACATATAATTATATGTCTCTGGCTGGGTGAATGACTTGAAACAACTATAAAATCAGACCCCTAGTCAATAAATCATGATTATTCCTAGTAGATGTCAGGAGTTGTCCTGTGTGAAATTGAATCAATGAATGATGATTGTCAGGCGTTTCACTAGCAGCATTCAACAGGCGATTTTCACTGGTTGTATTCACAAAATCGCCTGTTGTTTTTAGGGACTCTTAAACTAAATTCAATGACCCATATTGGAATCAAATCTTGGACCTTCCAGTTCAGTGGCTGATGCTCTACCGACTGAGCTATTAAGATGTCAAGTCAACACAGCTGAGCTGTAGTTGATATATTTAATAGCAATCAAATAATATTTGGCAATAACGTTGAATTAACATCAATTTTTGTTGCCTTTTTATCACTGATGTAAATGTGATGAACTGTATTTGTAATAGTGGTGGGACTTGTGAAAAATTCCTACTTGCGTTAAAAGGCCTGCTTATTCGATTCACTTAGTTGATCATGGCCAAGTGGATTGTTTTGACTTGGTCACTTATAGAATAATGTACAGTTTGCAATATTAAATTTATCATTTCAGTGTTTAAGCTCAAAATCACAGAATCCAGCTTCTCTACTTGATGATGATGAGAGACCACAGTTCCCTGGTTCAAGGTCAAAGTTTACGAACACTCTTTCATTCATTCAACCTGAGATGTATGATGGTATACCAGTATACAGGGTAATGAACAGGGAAGGAAAATGCCTGAATGAAGATGAAAATCCTAATGTGAGTTGCTTATGCCAATCTTGAATGTAGACAGTATTGTGTAGCATAAAGATTCTTTGAGCTCATTTATTAAATGTTTGCCTTGATTGTAAATGTCTATTGATAATGATTTTAACGTGTTTCGTGTTACGTGTTTTGGGGGGTATAAATGCAATTTTCCAGGGGGAGGGGGAGGGTATGGATGCAAATTTCTGGGGGGGTATGGATGCAATTTACCGGGGGGGGGGGGGGGGGTAGCAAGAAAAAAATTCTGGGGGGGGCCCGGGGGGTGTCTCAGCCTGTGCATCCATACCCCATTTTTTAAATGGAATGGCCCATTTCTAAAAATATTATTTAAAAATTTTTGAAAAAAAACTCATATTTACGCCGGATCTAACATTATTGCGCCTAAAGCATACCCAGTTCACTATACATACCACAACAAAAAGTTCTGTTGAGAATCAAGTGTGTTTTTTCTTTGTTTTCTAACCATATTTCACAATATAACATGATTCCGACATCCGATACACAGACGTATATTTGGACTTCCTGTTGCAGTGAATTGTGGGGTTTGTGCAATGCATTGTGGGATATTTGGACACACAAGAGTCCGGATCAAGTGAAAAATATTTGCCATATTAAAAGTCAAATTACTGCGTCAATAGGTTATTTACTCTAACCAAACAAGTAGAACTAGAAAGATGAAGATCTCAGCTATAAATTGAGTGCAAAATCTGTCACGGGGAAACAGGTACCATTTTGTATAAGGAACGTTTTGAAAGGTGGTCACTTTTTTTTCGAAATTTTCCAGTTTAGTGTCTTATCATTTGTATTATTCTTTGAGCCTATGCGATCTTACTACAAAATGATCTGGCCAATATCTGTGTCAAATTTTTCTCATTACAGCTTGACAAAGACACGGTCATGAAAATGTATGAAAATATGACACTGCTCAACACAATGGACCGTATATTGTATGAATCTCAACGTCAGGGAAGAATATCTTTCTATATGACAAACTATGGGGAAGAGGGGACCCATATCGGGTCTGCTGCGGGGCTGCATCCGCATGATCTCGTATTTGGGCAGTATAGAGAAGCAGGTAAAGAAAGTGTACTAAATTTGACCTTATTTACATAATAACAATTGTTTGTTAATTGTTATTCAGAATATAGTCGTGTCTTTTAGTAAATGTTTATAACAGTAAATCCTTCTGGATTTTTTAATGATAAGGATAAGCTGTGATCCATAATTTTATTTTTACCTGTACAATTAGATTTAAAATCCTAATACTGCACTTTGAAAATATGAAGAGGATTATTATCATGAATCAGAATAGTCTTAATTTAGATGTGTATTGCTGTACTGTAATGTCTATTTGATATGCAGTGTTGATTGTTTGCATGTTGTAAGGTGTATTATTGTGGAGAGGCTATGAGTTAGATGACTTCATGAACCAGTGTTATGGGAATTCACTAGATCCTGGCCTTGCACGCCAGATGCCAGTGCATTATGGGTCAAACAAACACCATTTTGTAACTATTTCATCACCCTTAGCAACCCAAATGCCCCAAGGTAACAGTGAACTGAAGATGGTTTCATCACAAATAAATAATGTTTCACATGTTATTTTTCATAGCTAGAGTAAAGAAATCAAATGTTTAGCATTTTTCAAACATGTATTTCAAAAAAATATGTATTTAGGAACAGACTTTGAACATGGTCAGACACATTTTGAGAGTCAATGCAAGAAATTAATTAAAGTCTCATAATGCTAGACATTGAATTGTCTTACTTTAGCTATAAATGTTTAGCTTTTTTAAGGTTCCATGGTGTACCACCAAGTGAGCTTCCTTAATTCAATATATTGACTTATATTTTAAGTAACCCAGCTTCTCCAACATATTTAATTTTTTGATATTCTGTTTGCATATTTGGAACAGTTTTATTTAACCAGTTGACCACCTCAAGGGACAAAATTTCTCAAAAAACGACTGACTCTCGACACCTAGAGTGACAATATAATCTGTAACAGAATTTTACACTTATGAATGATCTGCAAACAATGTTTTAATATATAAACAAAGGACCGATACTTACATTGACCAAATTGAGCATCACATATTTTATGTCAAAATATGAAAAATGATCTGGTTTCAAAACCAAGATGTCATTTAGTTAAATTATTGTCCATATATGCATTAAGAACTATTGATTTCACTACCAATTTGTTACCATTAGTTATAATTAATGTTCATTCAAGTACTGTGCCAGCTCACACAGCTCTATTTATTCACTCTTTGATTACGTCAAAATGAAGTGAGTGAAATAAATAATGAAATTTATTTAATGTACAAAATGTTAATATTATTGTTGTAATTTGAATACAGTACATCGAAATAATCATGGGATAATATTGTGATTTTTCTGAAACTATTTTCTAGATTTTTATGAACTTTACGCAATCACTCACTTCATTCACTGAATCAAAGTGATGCTGCAAAAAGGTATAAACAGACATTTTCCAAATGTACACCTACAATTATGGGAAATTGAAAATGTAACATGAAATATTTTACATGTAGTTTAAGAGTTGCACAATACTTGGACATATGTTACACTTTTTTTAAAATTTTTGAAGCCCCTTGACTTGAACATGTCTCATAAAACTGAAGACATGAGAATAATATATAAAACTAATGTGGTGTGATTTTCACATTCTGCATCTTAATCGATAAATATGATTAAAATGGACAGAAACACCTCTGACCTTGTTTTCTTAATTTTTAGAGACATATTCAAGTTTATAGTCCCATGCTTTATGAATTAAGCTTATCTCACTCACTTTTATTGCAGATCTTTCACACACAGAAGATCATGATGTCATTATTTTTCATGCATTTGGTGTTGGCTTCCAATCTCACCCATTTCCCTTTCAAATTGCCTATTATCATCTAATGTATTCATTGGCATGTTGATGCTTATTTGCATGGCAATTCCATAAGTACGCAGAAAATATTATAACCCTTTTGGCTATGTCTAAAAGGAATGCTTGCCTTTGTTTAACTTCAGGAGTTTTGCTGTACAGAGGTTTTTCTCTCGATGAATTTATGAACCAAGTTTATAGTAATAGCTTAGACTCTGCAAAGGGCAAACAAATGCCTATACATTATGGGTCGGTGGAGCACAGATTTTATACCATATCCTCTCCACTTGCAACGCAGATGCCACATGGTAAGGCAACTGCGCAAACTGAATTAATAATAGTGCTTTAGATTTTAGAGCAAACGGGTGTTTCATAATGTATGTCCCCCATTCACAGCCAATCATGGATCACATGGCCTGATATATATATCAAAGTAAATCCTCCCAGTCCAGTATACCATTGTATCATTTAGAGCTACCTGGTTAGTTCTGTTTAATATTGTTTCTAATATTTTATAATTTTTCTTATATTAAGCATCATAAAATGTTTTAATTTGTATATAGCAATAGATAAAAGTGGCATGTTTATCATAATTGTTAGCAGGATACACAGCTAATTTTTTATATATGTGTCCCTCTGAGATTGTACCTTTTGTAGGGATAATTCCAATTGTAAAAAGTGTTGAGCCTAATAAAAGAATTAAACAAGCTTTCATATTATATATAACATATAGGGTTTGCTGTCTAGGATTGGTTGTTTATAGGGGGACTGTCATTATGAAACACCCTGCATAATGAGAAAAGAAACTAAAGCATGAAGAAAAAGAGGGTCAAATAGATGATATATGGTTTATGATACATCTTTTAATAAGAGATAACAATTTATAATATGCTTTCCCAACTTGTCTCGTGGACTGAGGTATTACAAATTAAGGGACCTTTGATTGGTCCCCCACACATTTAGAATAGTAATATTTATAATGATTAGCTAGTATAGATTGAACTACAGCTATTATGAATAAGCTTCAGGCCCATAGTCAGCTTTTGCCAAGGGGGGTACTTTTCCAAAAAATTCCAGATTGGTTCACATTTGGCAACTTTGGACTAAGATCACTTGAAAAGTGATTGGTGAAAAACTGCATGATTTTGACAGAATTTCTGGGGGGGAGGTGTTCGAAACCCTGGCTACGGGCCCGAGCATTACACTGCTTCACATTAGTAACCCTGGCCACTTCCTATACTGACTGCTTTAGATTTTCAATTAACACATCTTATGTAATTATGGCTATAATATTTTTGATAAGCACTAACAATCACACTTAGAATTAATAAAATGTATATTTTAAACTTATATTATTTTACATTCATCAGTATTTCAAACAAATTAATGGCTCATTAAAAATGTGTCCTTTTCAGTTTTTTAAGCAGAATGAATTTAGTTAAGGGAAGGGGAAAGAGGGGATAAGGCTTTATGAAGAGGCAGGTTGGAGGCTAATCTTTCAATAAACTACTCAGTTGTAAAAGCATATGACATGGATTCTTACATTGCATGTATTTTTGGATAGATATATTACATATTTCATCATTGGTTTATTAAATATAAGTAAAGGTAAATATGATGTAATAAGATGCTGTTGTCTTCAGGGGTTGTATAAATACAAAGAGAACTAAAAACATGAAACTGTTTTACCAAGGACATGAAAGCCTCTTAAAAAACACAGCAGTAGACCATTTAAATTGAATTTGAATAAATGTTTCAATAGATTATGGAAAGCTTCATTGGACATACTAGTAGTCTTGCCCCAAGTCTCTACTTCCCCTCAACACTAACCCCATCGTCATGTCTGAAATCTAATTTAGGGAGAGTATGAGGTGGCAATACAAGGGCTTGGTGCAAGACTACATTGTTTGTATCTATCACTTAGCAATATATTTATATGTCATGTTTTAGCATCTGGGGCAGCATATGCATTCAAGAGAGCTCAGAACGGGCAATGTGTAATCTGTTATTTCGGGGATGGAGCTGCATCAGAGGGAGACGCACATGCTGCATTTAACTTTGCAGCAACCCTAGAGTGTCCAATTATATTCTTCTGTAGAAACAATGGCTATGCAATATCTACTCCCACACATGAACAATACAGAGGTGACGGAATAGGTGAGTGACGAAAGCCTAGTACAGTAAAACCTGTATGTGTATATACATGAACACTTTGAAAATACAAACACCTTCCAATATGAACGCTTTTATTCAGCTCATGTTTTCTCCCATTGATTCCCATATAAAACCTTGAAATGTGAACACCTCAACAACTGCAAAACGCTGAAGTATTAGCAAGGGTTATTACAGGGAATTAAGAGTGATATAAACTAATTTCAAATGCCATTTTATTTTAATTTTGAATCTTGTTAATAAGTTTGTTTTGTTGTAATATTTTTCAGGTTGACACTATTTATCATTAATAATTTTGTTTAATACATTTGCATTGTTAAAAACATTGTTTATTGCCAAAATTTGATTTTTAAAAGATATTCGACTGTCTGTCAAATATTTTAACAAAGTATCATTCAAAAATTGCGAAAAGCTAGATTCTTAAAGTTAATGAACTAAAAACATTGCAGAAATGAATTGGGTGGATTTTTACTGGGTTGAGATGACCTGTCACTCCATAAACCTACGTGGTCAATAGAACTAGATTATTAAAGTTAATGAACCAAAAACATTGCAGAAATGAATTGGGTTGATTTTTACTTAGGTTGAGTTCTACTTAGGTTGAGTTTTACTGGGGTTGAGTTCACTTGGGGTTGAGTTTTACTGGGTTGAGATGACATGTCACTCCATAAACCTACGTGGTCAATAGAACTAGATTATTAAAGTTAATGAACCAAAAACATTGCAGAAATGAATTGGGTTGATTTTTACTTAGGTTGAGTTCTACTTAGGTTGAGTTTTACTGGGGTTGAGTTCACTTGGGGTTGAGTTTTACTGGGTTGAGATGACCTGTCACTCCATAAACCTACGTGGTCAATAGAACTAGATTATTAAAGTTAATGAATCAAAAACATTGCAGAAATGAATTGGGTTGATTTTTACTTAGGTTGAGTTCTACTTAGGTTGAGTTTTACTGGGGTTGAGTTCACTTGGGGTTGAGTTTTACTGTGTTTAGATGACCTGTTACCCCATAAACCTATGTGGTTAGTAGAACTATAAATATTTATTGAGAAGATGTACACATTTCTTCAAAATCCAGAATCTTGCGAATGCAAAAACCTCGAAATGTGATCACCTCCTAATCCGAATGGTTTTAGTCAGTGTTCTGTATTAAGACTATTTTGTTGTATTATAGCTGCTAGGGGTCCAGGCTATGGTATGGCTACAGTACGGGTAGATGGAAATGATGTGTTTGCTGTATATAACTGTGTCAAGGCTGCCAGGGAGATGTGTTTAAGAGAAAACAAACCAGTTCTAATTGAGGCAATGACATACAGGTAGGATATTATGAGGGGTGATCAGTAAGTTTTCATAATGCATCTGACATTTCAAAATATTCCCACATTAAATTTTCTGTCTGATTTTTCTGTAGCAATTTCCAGTTTTCCTGCATCAAAAAATTACTTTCTTGACAAACATAATATTTTACGAGCATTTTAATTATTCCAATGAATGAAGTTTGTTAGAGACAACGGGAATGAGTATTACTATTTTGAATTTTGGTATCATGTAAATATAACACTACTGAATTGGAAAAAATCTTTGTTCGCGAAATTCGCCACGCTTGCATGAACTGTGGGGTTCTTACCTATCCTACTCTTTTTGCTTACGGGTACTTACATCAGTATTTTAATCGACAAGTCGATAAGAAGATTATCAAACCTTGACTATTCCTATTTTTGCATGTTTCTAAAAATGAAATTTCATTTATTTTATGCAAATTTTTAGATTTAGACAAACAATAACACAGACAAAATTTTTGTTTATTTTATTTTAATCTATAAGTCAAGCATGTTCCTAAATTCTTAAAAGGCTTTGAGGAGTACTTATTGAGAGACTGTTACTTTATAGTTTTCATCTAGTATTGATCATTATTGATAATCAAAGGCTTTGATATATCCTATCCATATTATATTACAGCAGCAAATGAGGAAGAAATATAGTAGATAAACCCAAGAGTTGCATCTTTTTTATCAGTATTTGTTTAACACACTATAATTAAACCTCTAGAATTCATACAAGAATAAAATACATTCTTTTCAGCAACCCCTCTGAGTTCACCTGCTGTTATAAAACTCCATTTTGTTTAAATATACATTCAATATATTTTGTCTTCCTAATCAGTCCTTTTTTCCTGTCTTTATCAAATGGCCAAAGTTGCAACATTCTGCTCTCATTCTATAGTATTTCAGATTTATTAGTTTGGAAACCAACCTGGGAAAAGCAACTTCATATTCAGAGACATATAAAATATATATCTCTGTCATAATGTTTCATCAAGTCTAAATTAAAAAGCTACCTTTAAACCGTTATATACTGCAATTAATGTCATTGTGTAAATGACAATGGGAATTCAGTCATTTTTACAAATGTTTACTTATTTTTCACTTTTCTGTTATATATAGTCTTCATATCAGTAACAATATACAATTGTAGACCTTTCTTGACATCAACTGACAAAGTTTTATATTATAAACTTTGAAAGTACTGTTGGTTTTTTCAAAAGTAGCAGTCAACAGTACATATTGTTCACTTTTAATTAACCAATCAGAATTGAGTATTTCAAATGAGGTACTGATAATATGATAATGAGGTCTCTGGTAGTTATTCTGTATCATCTAGATGTAGATGAGTAATTCCAGCATACTATAGACTAATTCTAAAGAAAACATGTATGGCAATTATGAAAGAATTAAATACAGGAATTGTATCAACTTATCATCATAATTTTCCCTGGATTACATAAATGAGGCTAATTATATTTTTCCCTGAAATAAAAGATATACAGTACATCTATATAAAGTAAGTTATTGGGCAAAATCACCCTTTACTTTACTGCAAATGTTTAAGTTATTCTAGTGACCTTGTAATACTATTTATAATGGTGCAAGATATTAAAATACATTACACTAAATTGAAATTCAATATGACATGTGAGTCGTGACATTTAATAAAGTATGGCATTAATGGCTTATGGGTGAATCACACCAGGGAATATCATAGAGAATGAAAAAATCTCCTCTCACAAAATCATTTTCACCTGGATTAAAGTGATTATTAATTAAAATCTTTATTAATTAAAACATTAATAATGATCATTATTAATAAAAGTTTCATGAAAAATATAAACATGTCATTCAATATTGTTATAATATTTGAATCATCCCTCAATCATTTGATATCATGGTATAAAATGCTTACTTCTTAGTTGCGAATTGAATATGGGTTTTATACCTCAGTCAATATGATATTTTCCTCAGGAAATATAACATTTAGGCGAGTGGGAGCAGGGTCAAATATGGAACTTTAATTAAGATTGACTGCAACCGCTCAAAACATGTTGTACTTTCATAATATTGATATGTAGATTCCAAATATGACAATGAAAAGTTTTGAAAAATGGACCGTTACCATGGAAACGGATGCAAAGTGCCACGCCCACTTTTCATTAGCCATAAAGAATGCTAAACACAATATTGGCCATAACTTTTTTAATTTTTAACTATTTTTAATGATATTGGTACCATATTGAACGTAATAAAATTTACCGTCACCCTATGTATTATTTAGTCGGTTTCAATTGTTCACCCGGCAATTATGACGTCATAATATCCTTAAATTCCCATTTTAAGGTATATTTAACGAATTGCTCCACATCAATGTCAATTAAATACCTTAGTGAATATTCTTATCAAATAAAATGAGATTATTTTTGTTCACGTTTATGTGCTCTTTCCAGTGATACCTTTGATGTTACATAACACTAATACACTTTTGTTCTAGAGCCTCTTAAACCCATGGCTACACTATGGTAAAATGCTGAATCCATATTTAATCGCATTTTACTACAATTTACTGATTCTCTGTCTATCTGTGTGTGTATGTCTATGCCTGTTTGCTACCAAACAATTTAGACGTTGGAAAACAAAACGTGGTGCATATGTCCAGTATAGTACCCCCCTCGAATATAAAGTGGTTAAGAACTTGTGATGTCATCTTGTTGCCTAGCAACCACTTAGGAATGGATTAAAACGCCTTATTATGGCCATTTTTCCCTAGTTTCATCATTGTATAGGCACTAAAACATCTAGAGAAAGAATCACCCCTCAGCATTGACCCTACAGTATATCACTGTCTTTGACACTTGTTATTGTGATGTCATCTGTGTTGCCTAGAAACCACATAGAAATGTTCTAAAGTTTGCCAAAAATGAGATAGATCATTCAGTATTCTTCCATTTACTCACAGGTTACGTTTTTTAACAAAACACTCATTTAAGATTAAGACACTAGTATTATAATCTAAGAAATACCAATGTGTGTGTTCAAAACGGGCACTCTGCATCAAAATAAAATGTTCCTGCCTAGGAACCACCTAAAAACGGTCAAAAGCTGCCGAAAATGAGGTATTTTGTCCAAAATTATGTAATTTACAATTTATGCAACCACAAAACACATCTGAGCTTCATAAATGTAATGTACAGGGCATTAAATAAGTCTGTTCTCCATCCCCTATAATTTTTTAATTTAGAACTAACATAGGTTTATCAAAAATCATCTTAAAGGGAATTTAATTTGCTGATCACACACCAATTTTCCGAGTGATAGGTTACATTACAAATTTTTTAGAGCATTGTTAGTGATGTCCATATTTCACATTTTTAATAGTTCGTATGTTTCCCCCAAGTTGCTCAGACAGTCTCAATTCTACGAGGATACGCTTCCAAAATGTTCACAAACAGGAGTGTTGCACTTTCTAGGCTTCTGGGAGCCTTTTGATATGTTTGAGCAATGTTTCATTGCTATAAAGTTTCTCCTCTTTTTAGTCTTCAATTAATCTTTCGTCCCTGTCCTCCATAATTGCGGTATCAACTTTTCACCGTCCATTCACTATACTGGTAATTTAACTTCTTTTGACATAATCTATGGTCAACTACAACCTTACAAGAAACATTGTAGCAATTTAGGAAGAGTTCATTTTTGCTATTCTAAGGGTGATCAGCATTTTACATAAGCTTTAAAATGATATATTGGAAAATATGATAACTTTCAAAATAAAAAAGTTAAGGTGAGAAAGACTCTACTTGATATAGGATAAAGCAGTTATGTACGGTCGGTTTGGATATTGGGTTCATCCCTCGTGAGATATGCACATCTACCTTTGGTCCCTACAGTCCCTCAGGTAGATACGCATATCTCCCTCTGGATAAACCCCATACCCAAAACCTCCCAGTACATAACCCTTATATATTTAGGCATTGTGTAGTCATAACATATGCCTAGCAAACACATAGCAACGGTTCCTAATCAACTCAGACCCTGGTTAACTCTGACCCTAGTCAACTCAGGCCCTAGTCAACTAGTGCCAATGTGTATTTCTGAATCTTTTTTCGATATTTTGAGTGTTAAAGTGAAAATTAATATATAAAAGCAAAAGTGATCATATATAATTGCAAGAGTCAATCATAAATCATACATTCTAATTGTGAAATCAAATAGGATTAAATATGCCTAAAATGTAGTCACCAATAGTATAATTTTACATGAAGCTTTAATAATATACCCAAAATGTATTACAAAAAATAAATGTTATTTTCAAGCTGTACCTTAAAACAAAAATGTACTGACATATTTCTTCATACTGCATATTGGAATTAATGTAGTACTCTATATTTTGTTAACGTCAACACCCTGATTACATGCTTATCGAAATAAAAATAGAATAGAAATCATAGTAAGCATTAGAAAATCATTTAGAAGCATTTAAAATCCAATCCAAGGCAAAATCTGAATAATCAATTTGATCAATCAAAAAATATCTTTATGAATGTGTCCGGTATGTGCTTAAATATGGTATGTATACTCGAGTTGATTGTTAAATTGCAACATAGGCAGGGTAAAGAATATGTCAAACTCGTTTGATCTTGTTCCAGAAGCAATATTTTGTCACTTGTATCTCCCAGAATACCTTTAACTAGGGTCTGAGTTATTTAGGTCCAAGTTGACCAGATACACCTAGCAACGGTAAAACATTTACAAAAATGATGTATTGTTGTCAGTACTTGTATTATGCCATTTACTTTCTTTAATTCACTAGGCATAGCCAGGGGGAGCCATGACGTTAAAATATTAACCTATCAACCACTTGGCATATTTTGTTCCCTGTAGTTCAGAATATCTTTAGTAAAGAGTAGTGTATATGCATAATGACACATAGACATACTAATGTTTACTGGTTCGGCAGACAGTTTCAAATAATCAGCTATCAAGTAACTGGC